TGTTGTGACAATAAAATAACTTGAGTTCACTGTTTTAAACTTGAATTTAAACTCGAATTAATTTTGTGCACACAAAAACTTTCCTGGTATTTCATTGGTGTTTATACCATGATAAATGGAGTTATCATTATTGTCAAATGTTACTGTTATAATAAATAAGAGGACTACTCACGAGGTGACAAAAGCAACCAAAGCAAAGAAACCAAGGACAACCGGAAGCAATTCAAGATAGACAATTCCAGATGCCATCAGTGCCACTCTTATTGCTGGTATTAGTAAGCCAAATTTCTGGAATATAATAATTATTATATCAATCAGTCAATCAATCAATCAATCATTTATTTTAACACGTTACGTCAAAGAGCTAAAAACTCGTTCAAATATGAACGTGTATAAATAAATCTATAATAATTACAGCTTTATAATATTATTCAATTTTAAAAACAACTCAATAAATATATACATATAAAAAACTTGGTAATAAAAACATAAAATATAAAAAGCTAAAACCGACTAAAAAGTCAGATACTAAAAACGTGACTGGGAAAACTATAATACTCGTTCTAAAAACAGTTAAAAGCTACAATCGTGCGCTATAAGACACGTTCTAAGAAGCTGCAGTCATGCAATTTACTTCTGAAGTCATTAGCATCACTTGAAAGACGCACTAGAGAAGGCAAACTGTTCCATACCTTAGTTAATGAATAAGTGAAAGAATTCTTCTTAAATTTAAGATTAAAGTTAGGTAATTCCAAATTCAAGCCCTCGCCTCTTAGTCTATACGGTGTATGCCTGTATTTAAAAAGGCTTCCAATATAATTTATAATTTATAATATAATTTATAATTTATTTATAAAATAACTAAGATAGTATGCATGCTCTGATTAGCTGAAAGGCGTGTTTGCATGAGAGTATGTGAACATGGTTGTGACATCAAGGTGTTTTGCTTTCAGGCGCTAATCAGACAAGCACGAATTTGAAAAAGTTTTTCAAATAAAAACTCAACAAGTTTACTTTATTAACCCATAATTCCCTCGTTGGCTGAAACTTGGAACATCTTTATAAACATGCTGTACGTCAAATAATTAATGCTACACTTGAGATCTACAAAGCATTTCAGGATGGCTTGACTTTTCTTAATCGGCATAATGATAGTTTGGATAGGCTGGGATTCTTAGATAAGTCAAATTTATTGAAAATACTAGACTGCCAGTAATTTAGTGTTTTAAAAATCTTGACCGTTTACAGGCCTTATAGCTACAGGATAAAGGGTAAGCATTGTTCAAGGTCTTGTTTGTAAACCAAACTCTACACTTGAGAGCATTTCAGGATTGCTGGACTTTTCTTAATCAACATATGATAGTTTTGATTGACTGGGATTCATAGATAAGTCAAATTTATGGAAAATACCGGACTGTCGGTCATTTAGTGTTTTGAAAACCTTGACCGGTTGCAGGCCTTATAGCTACAGCATAAAGGGTAAGCCTTGTTCAAGGTCTTGTTTGCTTTGTTCAAAGTTTTCTCTAACTGAGTTAGTTCTTAAAAGATGTAGTGCTTCTCCTTTCCCTTTTTGCGATAAATTCCCATGATATCCCCGTGCATCGTTACTGTCCACGATTTTACAAAATTTGCAATTCCCCCACCTTCTTTCCTTTGAGCTTAAAACAATGTCGTGAATTTTCCCCTACCCAGGGGCAGAGAATCCAATCTATCCCCCTGTATTCCCCGGCATATTCCCCTGGTTGGCCAGGGCGTCTATCCCAAGGGTAAGCCGATGACATGTGAATAATGCATATCCAAAAATATAAAATCTTGGTGACAGCCTTGTCCTTTATTACAACCCATAAGGGCTGTCTTCAAAGGGAAACAGTCTATCGCAAAAAGAAGATGGTTCGATTTCTCGCAGTATGTAGAGGAAGATAAGGGTCACATGATCTGACCATCTGACCCCAATGTGTAGAACCGGCCAACTTTGACAAAAGTTTGAACAGGTGTGTGTGTGTGTCTGGAGACCGAAAGCTACAGACTGTAGAAGCAATACTTTCGATTTCCAGTCGCTCTCTCTTACGCACCTGACACGTTTAAAGGAAAACGAAAGTGAAAGATCAAAATTTCCTTTTTTGAGTTTCGAAAGAGAAGGAGAATCAAGTTGAATCAATATTCAGACAACGCGATCTAAACTTGTCATAGGTTCATACAATTAAAAACCAGTAGAAGGAAGAAAATGTTCTTACCTGATGAGCAAAGCAGAAGTATAACGAGCTATTTTCGAGGGTTTTACATTACGTTTTAGTATCGTGTAATCCCGTTTTAGCAGCTTGGTCGAATCTCAAGTTGTTAATGAATACTGCAGAGAATTGTGGGAAGATTGCTCTGTGAGCGCGGAATCTCTTTCTCGCTCTACGGTGGAGAATTTTTGTGTCTTCGTCTTTTCGTCCTTTCTCTTCTCTGCTTTTGTGGTTCCTTTCCATCCTCAATTAATTTAACCTCTTTGAACGTATTACTGCTTGAAAACAAAACAACAGCCAGTTGTTTTTTAGCACATTGTGTGGGGGGTTAGTGGGGGAGGGTCGGGACTGAGGGTACAAAAACAAAACAATGGGGGTGGTTGTAGTCCGGCCCGGGAGATAAACAGCTACTAATATGTATCAGAGCGAGCTCTACTTTCCCTTCATATTTATGGTTCTTTCTAAGTTTTGTTTTGCTTTGTTTTTTTTTCAGTCACTTGACAAAGAGAGCTTGGCTGGGTCCCCATGACTACGTGATCTAAATGGAAAATTGTTGTGGACTTTTTTTTGGGGGGGGGGGGGGGGGGGGGCTTTTTGGTGATTTCTACGATAACGCTCTGAGCCTGCGAGCAAGCTCTCCATTTGGGGGATATCGTGAAAAGTACACGCGCGAAAAACTAACGAGCTAAAAACGGCCTTATCCTAACAAATGGCCGCACCCACCATCTCCACCTAACCTGTTGGCTTTCTGCCCGCCATAACAAAATAATGGCCATGATGGCAAAAGATAGCACTACCACACGAGGAGTACTCGGTTTTTCAAGTGAGGGGAAGGTTAAGTTAGCTAGAAAAATTTGATAAGCCCCAATAAGGGCGAAACAGCTGCCCATGGCTGCTGCAACTGCTGGGGTGATATAGTTATGCGCATGCGTAAGAGTACTGGCCACACCGCGGATTCACCGCGGACTTGGTACGTGTGCTTCAGTGTATAATTTGGTATTGTAGGAAATTTAGCAAGTATCACTCACTCCTGGGGTATCACTGAATGTATGTCCTTAGCAATCAGTAACGTCTTTGGGAACTCAAAACAATCTGAGGATTCGTGGTAGTGCCCACTCATCCCAGCGCACAGTTCTGCAGTAAAGTAAAAAAACACACTTGTTTTGCTGTCTTTTGTGTTTTCGTCTCTGTTATCGTACCCCGGCTCAAGAGGTCCGTTCTCAAAATACCTAGGGTATTTGATAAGCCACGCCTCGTTGACTAGGCTTCGGCGCGTACCATCAGTATCGATTAGCAAAAAATATCCTCTGGAAGCCAGGGTACTGTTGTTCAAGATTGCTTCAACAGAATTAAATGAACAGTAATCCCCTATTTCCCTCCCCCATCCCCCCACCCACATCCGAAATCAAACAAGAGCGAAGCCTGTTAACAGCCCTTAGAGAGATTGCCGAGCTATCTGGGTGCTAGAAACGTTTTATGTTAGGTTTCCGGTGAAGGTCAAGTCAAGTCTTTACAGGGACAAGGCAAGATAGCGCTGTCCACCGGATAAATCTATAATTCCCCCGTCTCTATATCCGGTGGATGGCGCAAGTGGCTTCCCTAATACTTATCCTATAAAGTGGATAGCAGGGTATCGTCGAGCGGGCGTATGAGAATAAAAACCGCGAGGCATTTATTCACCGCAAAGGCAAAGGGGAGGGTTGCTAAAAAGACAAAATCGGAGAATTTTCTTTTTTTTTCCCTCGTGCGGATCGTCGGAAGGAAAAAAAGAAAAGCGTCTGAGGACAGGCGAACGCCAGAGCGAAGGCCAAAACGCACCATTTTCCCATCTTTGATTTGGGTAGGGAGACGGGGACTAAATCTCTAGTCTCATGTCCAAGATTCTAGCCTGTGAACGGCCCTTCAAGGAGGGAAAGGAGAAAAGATCAGACCTAACCTTCCTCGTGCCTTCTGTTCCTCCCATCCCTCGCTAAAAAGCTTAGCCAGGCAGCAGAGAACCTTGTGCCTTTGTATCTTTGGTAATGTGGGGACAACATTTACAAAATGTCATTTAGAGAGATACGTTTTAATAAGAAAGTGATTCAGAGGTACAAATGTTTAAAAATTTAAGGTAATAGCCTTCAGCATACAACCTGCCTTATCTAATTTACTTCAAGTCTAACTATTTACCAGTTCTGAGAGTCTTAATTTTCAATTGCCGCCAATACAGTGAAGTGGCCATGGGGCAATAAATAGTGATCCTTTAGTTTGCTTTCTTTCTAGTCCTTTCTTTTTCTAAAAAAAGAATATCATATATGTACACACTATTAATTGCACCTGACAAACCATAAAACGGATGACAGATACTCAAGGAGCTGACAACTCCCCTAAAATTCACCATTATCATATTACACCCAAGATTCACACCAGTGTAGTGGGAGTAACCCATGGAAAATATGTCTAAATTAACTGCACTTAGGCAACAGCATAACAAGACATTACAAGCCACCGATTAGTTATGAGAGGTTGATAAGTAGCAGTCAATGTAAATATCATTATTATGCTGGCAAAACGGAAAACCAGTTAAACCAAAAAATGAAAATTGTAGGAGGCAAAAGAAGCCCCAGCCAACCAAGACTCTTTTAGTGCATGTTCACTTACTTGACGACCCTAATAAAGGCTACAAAGGAGACTACTTATCTTTTGACTGTGTTGCTCTTTTTTCTCCTACTCTGCAAGTATGCCCTAACACTGTTGCCGCTCTTGCAGTCTATGGCCAAGCATAGGAAAACTTATGCAAGAAGGTTGGTTTAAATAGTGTAACTGCAGGGGCTAATAATGTAATAATTTTTATTTGAAACATAATTAGGCAAAGTAAGCCTTGAAACTTAGTTGAAAACTGCTCTAAAGGTTAGATATTTTCACATGGGTACTTTTGTAAATTCATTTCAAAATCAATTTTTATCTACACAGTTCATTTGAACATCACAAAAATCTTTCAGTTAACCGAAAATTTCCTTGATTCCAAACCAGGGAAAAAAAAAACAGCGGCACAGTATAATAAATAATAATAATAATAATAATAATAATTTGTTATATAATATGAATAAGTTACTGATTGTAAAAAGTTGAAATAAAAATAGCTTAATGGTTTAATATTGCAAGGACTTATAACATATTAACATGTATAAAACCATACAGACTAGATTACAATATAATCCTCATGCACTGTCCAGTTATGTAAACACTTACTGCTGTAGAATGAAAGCCTGTTCATTTGCATTACAGCAGTTTTTGCTTTAAGCATGAAAACAATAAGAAATTCCATATGGCAAAAAATGTTATGGATACAGGTGTATATGCAACATGCTACGTTGCAAATGCATCCAATGAATACTGCAGATGAGTACTATGAAATTGGCAAATATTAAAGTATAGTAAAATGACAATAAATATTTTTATTTCTATTCCATGTAACATGAAAGGCCTTGTGTTAAATAAATATGAGTTTTTACTATCAATCGACAATGTAACTAAGGAAAGATTTTGAATTTCACTTGTAACTAGCCTATGCCACAGACAAAACTAAACCTCTGGTAAAGTCCGTCTGGGAACCAGCAACAAATCCTTTCTCTGGGTTCCCACCTGTGTACGATGATCTAGGTATGTAGCACGTTCAGCTTTTTAACAAATTATTGTTGCTTTTACGATCAGGTTAAAGGGAAATTCAAAACGCATTTTAAGTAATTCATTAAGTCCATTTGGGTCCCAGAAAAAGGATTTTGGTGCTACTTCGCAGACATTACTAACAGGGATAGATTACGTCTGTGATGCAGGCTAACTTCCACCTATAGCTAACACTCATTTCATACTGAAAACATGGCCACCCACCCTAGATGTCAAATGACAAACGGTTATAATATACAACATGTAAATTATTACATCTAAATGTATCCTATACAATAACCATCAAGTTAAAAAATTATTATTATCTACATCAACAGGGAAAAATAACACCAAGCTGAAAATGAATTTAAAGGATCACTTACCCAAATTCCCTCAAAAAGAAAGGAGAATCGACTTAAGAAGACTCTTCTGGAAATAATGTATCAAGGAGCTCATCCACATTGTTGAGGACAACATCAGCCTCCTTTTCAAGGAATGTCTTACTACCTGCCCCACTGAGCACACCAACAGTAAGGCCCAGCCCTGCTGAGCGACCCATTGTGGTGTCAGCATATGTGTCCCCGATTATAACAGTCTGTGTTGGGCAGACATTCAACTCTTTGCAAATTTCAAGAGCAGTTTCAGGGTGGGGTTTGGGCTTTGTATCTTTGTCATCTCCACATACAATCTTATCAACCATTTCCATCAGTCCTAACCTGTCAAGAGCTGACATAGTGCCCTCCCGGCTATCTGCGGTGCATATAGCAGTCTTCACCCCCTTTGCCCTTAGTGTTTCAAAAATGAGTGGCAAATCACCCAAGGGTTGTAGCGTGTCATGACTTCCACTATCAAACTCCTTACAACAGTTGTTGACCAGCTTCTCTGCTCTGTCTCTGTTCACACCACAGTCGACTAGAACAGAGACAAATACTTTCATGATTTCAGCTATAGTAGCATGGGCCAGCAGACCTCCATCCGTGTAAGCGCGAGTCTTCGGACAGAACCCCACTTGTTGGTACAGTTTGTCTGCCAGATCCAGCCCAGTTGCTGCTTCAAGTTCACGTACATAGCTCTCCATCCATGGTATCCAGACAGAATCAACATCAATTAAGGTCCCATCCTTGTCAAATATGATAAGAGATGGATCAAGGGAGTCAGCAGATGCAGATGACCCAGAGCTCTGCCCATCACCAGCAAGGGATGAAAAACATGCGGAATAACCACCACGACGAGGAAGCAGTGGTCTTGCCCAAGGGGCATTACCTGCAGGAGGCAAGCAATATTAGCAAAACAAACAGGGGGGAAGGGACATGTCAAAAAGCCACCGATGACAAGACGGGACTTCTTGCACACACACTATCCTTTGACACCACCCAACACTCTCATGAGGCTTGCTGTGCTGTTGTAATGCACAGCCAAGCAAAATTTATTTTCTACCCTATGCAGGGAGGAGGTAACAATTTGCTTACCTTCCTAAACATGCAAAGGGAAAGTTTACTATAAAAATATATTAATATATATATATAATATATTTAAATATATTAAATATTTATTAATATCAATAAAGTAATAATTAGCAGCTATTACCAAAAAAATAAGACTGAAAAAGATGTACAAAACTGAAGGAGTGCACAAAGATAAAATGAGTTTTTGAGAATATTAAAAGATGAATATATTTAATATTATAGTCAATATTAGTAAAAATAATTGAGTTATTATTGTAGAGTTATTTTATTATTAAAATTTTGGCTAATTAGTTGTTTTACTCCTCCTCCCCACCAAACAAGATTAAAACCCTTTAATACCTTGTAATGTACGACCTTCTCTCCAAAGGTCCCTGTCAATGTATGGTTGTTTCAATGATGATAATCTGACTAATTGTTCTGCTTCAGGTGGAGGACCAAAGAGCTTGTTGTAATCATAACCATCAGTGCATTGCCTGTTGATAATTACAGGTCAGCACCACATAACAGATGGCCTTCAACAAGCAGTGCTTGCAGGCCTTAAAGCATATAACTACAGTATTAATGGTAGTACAAGTGACCTTTATAGTATAACAACCTCCATCACGAAATATACCAATGAAATACACTGTCATTATTCTGCAGAACAACAATAGCTCATCTAATCACAACAAAAATATATAGACAGCGATAATTAGAAACTTAACAAAATTATTATTCGTGACTCAGTCGAAATGACCAATCCAAATTAATGATTCTTGCAAATATACCCAAAGAGGTTGTTAATTACAGCACAACATACTTACCTTACACCCTCATAACAGTGCCTTGACCCACTTTCAATTTAGTACTAATCAAATTTACATCAACATGTTTTGGATAACAGCAAAGTCAAAATATAAGTTGATAAAATAATGCTTCAAGTGACTTCTGATAAACTGCTACAGGTAGAGATTCTCCTTCCAAAATTTGCCTTTTAAAAAGTACACATCAAGACAGGGGGTTAGTCCCCTATGACTAACAAGCAACTTTTCAAGAAAACTAAATGACCATTTGATGCATGGTGCCATATTTGGAAAAGAAATGTAAGTTCACCCTATCTTACATGCATTTTGAATAGCAACAAACAGCAAGTGCACTTTTCAAGTAATACATTACGTATGTTACCGCACAAATACAAAAGACTGTTCATTTACAAAGCTCTTCGGAAAAAAACTTGAGGTGAAAAATGCTCAAACTTTATAAAAATTCAACATTATAGTGTTATCACGATCTACAAACTTTCCTGACAGCAATGATCAGGTAGTATTAAAAGCGGTGCAGGGCTTTTTCTAAGTGCTGGTTGTTTTTAAGTGCATTGTTCTTGGTGTAAACCCTCTGTAACCCTGTTCTACATTTTCCTCAAAACAAACACAGTCCAGATTTGATTTGCACATTTTCATGCAGAATGTCACCGGTAATTTGAGTAGTATGTTTTCATGAAGTTATAATGATTTTGGGATTATTAAATTTGTAAAGAACTTTATGCTCTTACTAAAAACCCTGCTCATGGCTTTACAATCTCCAAGAGAAAGTGTTCTAATTTACAATGTTGTCTGGATTATTTTTATTTTATCTCCTCTGGGGATCTTGTTCAGGAAGGTTGTAACATACCATGGTTTACCTAAAAAAGTTTTAAAGTGAAAAAATTCTGTGAGAAATTGCAACCTGAAGCAGTTATTGCTTGAAAACATTGTAGAAAAACAAATTAGTAACATTGAAATATATTCAGATTGTACCAATTAGAAGAAAACAGATAGATGTAATATAGAAAATTTAGATGTTAGGAGTCAAAAATAAGAATTGATCTTGCCTATTAAGTTACACTGTTGTGAAGTAGGTGAATTGCACCAAAAAGAAAGAAAGAATTTATTTTGAGAAAACTTGAGCACTGCCACCGACAAGCAATCTTTAAGCTGAATTTCTATTACCAAAAATATGTTCTAAAGAGCTGTTATAAAGCTCCACATTTGCTGAAGCACTTCGTTTCCTTTCAACATAACTTGATAAAACTTGGCCAAAACTCATCATAGTGTAAGCCTTTATTACACTTAAAGTGCAACTGAAACAAAAATTGCATTAAGTGTTTTTACTTTTACTACTTAAAAATTAATAGTTTTTTACCAGGGCTTGATCTGCTAACCATGTGATGCAATGCAATGTAAGTCTAAGAAATTTGCAACTGTTTACGAGAAAGCCAAAGTTTGCTTTCCCCTTTTTTTGCCCCCAATATTTTTATTCTTCAATTCCACTTCTACTTGTGCCTTATCTGCATTGGGATATTTGGAACTGATGCTTTTCTCTGTTAAAGGCTTTTTGGTACGGAATAGTTGTTTGCTTTAAAAATATCCCACACACAGAGTTGTTAGCTCTTCCATGCTTCACCTGCAAACTGTGTGACATCATGTGGTAGAAAATGCATCCTTGGTGGGGAAGCAACATGTTGCTCCATTTGGATAATGGAGACATTAAGATTCATGCTTATGCCAAACGGTAAACATCAGATTCAAGTTGAAAATTTCTCAGAATAGAAAATAAGCAGATAAAAACTGTCCAGAAAATTCTTATGTATAAAACTGGCGTGAAACTACTTATTTTTTAGTTGAAGTAATAAACAGTTAAAGACAATTAGGGAAAAACTTGGTCACATGGTACAAATTCGGGTTGGCCATTTGGCATAAACGTGAATCTTAATCTCTCTAATATAGCCAAAACAATACTGAAAAATCCCATTGACAAATATTTCCTATGACATTAAAAAGGTCATTTAACATATTAGTTTAATCATAAACTTATTATAGTTCTTTAACCTGACCAATAATATTGGTTTCACTTCGTCCTGAGACTAGCAGTAAACCAAGAAAAATGAAACTTTCACAACAATGTACAATGCACACATGATCAAAAATATTGTTAGCCAAAAAATTCATCAACCTACTCTGAATTCTTTGTTACAAGTACAAGTCTTCCATCATTGTTTGAACCAAACCCCAGGCTTTCATGCCACACACATTGAGCTGACAAGCCTACAAATCAAAAGGTAAACAGGTTAGCTTTAGACAGACATGTGCAACATTGAATTTGGCTTCACAGACTACTCACAAACAGTGCTATTTTCTGAAATAAATGCCCCTACCATTATTATTTCATTTTTCATAATATTTGCATAGTGGATCTGGCTAGCTGGTTCTTGTATAGAGTATGAATTTTTTCTTTGACATCTTGGTTTTAGAACTGCTGGCTTGTGAGTTTAGGCAGAAGTCTAACTATAATTTTTTTTTAACCAAAACCCTGCCCACTTGACTAATGGAGCTATTCCCAGTGCATATATTATTTTTCCTTTCTGGCAATTTTTAAGAATTTTCCAGCTTTTACCCCAAGGCTAAATAGACCTTGTCACGGTTTTCGACGCCATCTTGACGAGTAGGCAAACGCGTGAGAAATTACAATGATTGTATGAGAATCTAATATCGAATAATTTCCGTAGAACGGCTATTCTGAAAACAATATGACTTGTAAACTAAAGCTTCACTCCTAAGGATTCTCCTGAAAAAATTTGAGGGCGTTACATTCACTTGAAGACCTAGAACCACTTTTTTAAATTTTCTATACATTTGTCTGTAAGAAAGTCCCGGGAAAATTACAGACAAATATATGGAAAATCTAAACCAAGCCTCTGGAAAAATTTAAGCACAGGTACGCCCCCAAAATTTTTTAGGACAATCCTTTGCATTGTAGCTTAAGTTTATAATTGATATTTTTTTTCAGAACAGACGTTTTACGGAAATTATCCGATATTAGATTCTCATACAAACACTGTAATTTCTCACGCGTTTGCCTACTCGTCAAGATGGCGTCGAAAACCATGACAAGGTCTATTAAGTTCATGTCATGTTGCACACTTCAAACGTGATGACAACTTGCACTGGCGATTGATACTGACACAAGACTGACCTTAATCCAATCTACAGGTAGTTTGTAAAACTACACAAGTTTTCCAATCAGATAAAAGCTAGTGCTAAAGTACAAGTTATAAGTACTAAAGTAAAGCGATTTCAAAAACCAAGCAAGAAACAAACTTTTAACTGATGATGCCAAATCCAACAAAGTAAATTGAAAGTCAACATTCTGACAGTTTTTCACTTTCACTAGCCAGTTCGGAGTTGTCCATTTGATTAAAGGTACAAGAACAATATAAGAAACTTCATTTAAAGCCAAGATGTTATGTCATAAGTTTGGACTTTTTTGGTCCTCTGCATACACAAAGAGTCAGAAGAATAATAATCCTCTTAATACCTAAACAGCAAACCACCATTTTGCCTACAAAATGATAAATGATGTAAGTTATAGGCATTACCTGAAAAAGAAGGCTGTGTTTTTATCGATTTCCTCAGACACCTGCTTTGAACTTGGAGAAAACTTGAGACTTTTCTTGTACATCCACGAAGAGCCATATTCTTTTAATCCAATGCAACAAAATCAAACTGCGGCAAGGAAGATGTATGAAAGAACTCTGGTCAACAATTATTTCTTCAATGCGGTCTACAAACTGGCCTTAATCATGCATACGGTAATTAAGTTACCGGATATAAACAAAACGCTTGAAATAAACAAATTGAGATGTTATGCAATAAAATATTCGCTGATCGAACAAGCTCAGAAATTCCAATGAAATTCCAAAGTTTCCACAGTGGTCCAAGACGCGCTCCTATAGCAAATCATTCCAAGCGGCCCAGCGACTCAGAAAACGTTTATTTTTCGACCGAAACGAACAAGGTGGTACCACAGGTAGCCCAAGCTCGAAATATGAGCATCGGCGAGCATCGGCATTGTTGCGTAACATTCAAAATATAAGGATTTGTATGGGAAAAAAAACTTTCGTTTCTGTAACCTACGAAAATGAAAGGATTTCAATAAAAAACAGCTTACCTTACTTAAAATGTGTGTTAAATCTCTCCTGTGTGGTCCACGGGCCGATTTATGGCCGTTTTATGGGTTTTTATGTTAACGGTTTTCTCTCTATATAAAGGTTTACCAAGGTTGGGCACTCCAGCGAAGCGGCTCGACTGATCCACCGAAGGAAAACGGCCGTAAATTCGCTCCAGCTGCTCCAATCGCCTCCAAATTCCGCCTAGGTAACACACGATAGTTCTCCTCTCCATTCGTTACCTTGCTTCAAGACGCCTTTGCACCGAGAGCGAATCAAAGGTCGCCAATCTCTGCAAACCTTCCCGATTGAAGCCATCGACAGAGGCTCGGGATGAGCTCCGCGTTACCCAAACGGTTGAAAGATAGCTTAGCGACCCGGCCTGAAATTCAAATTACTCACACTCGGGGTGGGAGACAGTCTCTTGCTCCCGTTGACATCAATACCCTTGGGCCCGACCCTCACAAAGGCTAACTTGCACGCATTGTTCTCATTGACCAATCGGAGCTCAAACTGGCGAAATTTGAATTTCAAAACAAAGTACGGAATCGGAATCGTACAGATTCTGTAGTTTGCGAAATGAAAATCTGTAGTTGTAGGAAAAATGGGGGACTACTCGTAGTCTATTCTCGTTGCGTCTACTCGGATATTCTAAACAGAAAATTCCCCCCAAAAAGCTGTTTCGCCCAGAAAAGTTTAACTTAAGCTCAGGCGCTCAAGTTAAGCCCTGTCAGTCGGGGTTACGAACTGGATGGGTGACCCACCGCGAAGATTGTCTTAAAGGTCCATACGTTGTTCTTTTTTTTCTTCTTCTTCTTTTTTGCGTATTATGTGGTGTTATTGTTAACAGCGTATTGAAAAGCAGATTTAGCATTTAGCGTCCGGATTTAGAAAAACAAAAAAACAAAGAAAAAATATATATGGCCCGGTGGATCGGAGTTCGCCCGAAAATTATTATTCTTCGGGCCGTAATACAGAGCTGGAACTTTGCAGACTTTGATCTATATATCGGCGGGGAAGCCGGCAAACTAAGAAAACTGGGTTTTCGACAGTGGAAAACGATCATAATGCCTCTGATTCCAATCTCCTATTCCTCCATCTGCCTCTTGTTGTCGGCGTTGCCTTTGCTGTGCTAACAGTGCTAAGCGATGTTTCTTCTGCTCCGCGGTTTCTTGTTGACGTCTTCTCCTTCGTTGTTCACGCTGAATTTGAAGTCGGCATTCTCCAGAGTATTTTCATTTCGCAAACTACAGATTTTCATTTCGCAAACTACAGAATCTGTACGATTCCGATTCCGTACTTTGTTTTGAAATTCAAATTTCGCCAGTTTGAGCTCCGATTGGTCAATGAGAACAATGCGTGCAAGTTAGCCTTTGCGAGGGTCGGGCCCAAGGGTATTGATGTGAACGGGAGCAAGAGACTGTCTCCCACCCCGAGTGTGAGTAATTTGAATCTCAGGCCGGGTCGCTAAGCTATCTTTCAACCGTTTGGGTAACGCGGAGCTCATCCCGAGCCTCTGTCGATGGCTTCAATCGGGAAGGTTTGCAGAGATTGGCGACCTTTGATTCGCTCTCGGTGCAAAGGCGTCTTGAAGCAAGGTAACGAATGGAAAGGAGAACTATCGTGTGTTACCTAGGCGGAATTTGGAGGCGATTGGAACAGTTGGAGCGAATTTACGGCCGTTTTCCTTCGGTGGATCAGTCGAGCCGCTTCGCTGGAGTGCCCAACCTTGGTAAACCTTTATATAGAGAGAAAACCGTTAACATAAAAACCCATAAAACGGCCATAAATCGGCCCGTGGACCACACAGGAGAGATTGAACACACATTTTAAGTAAGGTAAGCTGTTTTTTTTTTAAAATCCTTTCATTTTCGTAGGTTACAGAAACGAAAGTTTTTTTTCCCATACAAATCCTTATATTTTGAATGTTACGCAACAATGCCGATGCTCGCCGATGCTCATATTTCGAGCTTGGGCTACCTGTGGTGGTACCAAGAATTGTTAGCATAAAAATTTCGGTTGCGTCTTTCGTAATAACTTTTTAGATTTCCACTTGTACTAAAAGCAGAAAGCGGAATAACTTCTGTCAGGTAAAAAATCCTTGCGCCTTTCATATCAACAAAATATTCGAAGTAGAAATACGGTACATATATTTCCGCTCTGAAACCGCGCGAAAATAAAATAAAATTGGATGAAGTTCTGAGAATCTCAAGCTTGAGCTTAGTAAACCTGGACACGAATTCTCTCACTGTAGAACTAAAAACCACAGAAAGAACTGTACAAAATAATCATTTCCCAATAAAAAGAAGTATGTGCTTTTCTAAATTTATGAAAACACTGTTTCCTGAAAGCCTCGGCGGCAGCATTCGAAGATACAAAGGTCAACTCTACGTTAAACGAATCTTTGCGGGGTTGGACGAGGAAAACTTGACGGGGACAAACAAAAGAATGTTCCAACTTACCTGGGCTGTTCAATATTGCGTGATATAACGAAAAAAGTGCGTAAAACCGGCAAAAGTTCTGTTTTCGTAAGGTCCCACAAAAGAAACATTCACACCACTTTCCGCCATGAAAGTGATGCCGTAATGAGGCGGCTTTCGTTTATAAAGGAAAATTTCGTCACGTGTTAATATCGTCATCACAACCAGGCAGAACCGGTTTTTCCTGTTTCGTTTTCACGTGCTCATGGTCACACCATCAACAATATCACGTCCAATATCCGTCCAATATCACCCCATCCCAGCGAACACAGACGTATTTCCGGTCGTCGCTTCTCTCGAGCGGAAAAACGCTGGAGAGAGGCGACGACTGGAAATACGTCTGTGTTCGCAGGCTAGTTTCCCAGAAACCAGGCCATTTTCAAAATTAAAAAAAAAATTGGAAAAGTTTAGATTTTAAGCGGTTCTCTTTGTATTTTCCAATGCTTTCTTTTATCATTTATTTCCGCAATTTAATTTGGTTGACTGCTAGCTGCGGCTAAAAATGGCCAGCAATAAGCACACTTTTCAATTTCTTTTCCTTGTTTACTTTATTATTATCATTAGAGAAAATACGAATGAGGTAAACGTTGTACGTCTGATCCAGCCCTTCATGACCTTCATGGGCCCTTCATGCAAGCCGCGGTGAAATTTTGCATTTCAAGCCGACGCGGGCGTTTCACCCTCCCGTTAAGTCGCATGGCTACCCGGACTTTTACAGAGAAGAAATACAACAACAATAAAGATGATTCTTTCTTTCGACTGAATTTTAATGTCTTTCTTAACGTAGATAACAGAGAAAGAGCTGGAGCGAGAGATAAAAACAAAGAGACCAAAACGTGAAAATTTTATAGCGGCGGTGAAAAGATGAGAGATGCTAGCAAGGTGAAAATGACTAATGAGCGGCAGCGAAAAAAAATGTTAACAGGAACACATACGACATCAGTCTTCCATCGTGTAGCTAGGAAGTAGGCCTAGCTACAAATATCCGGATATTTTTTTAGATATTTTAAGAAACTTATGGCCCGATCATAGTTTAGAAAATTACGATGTATTATATAAGGAAAAACATTGAAAAAATGATTAAATTTAGGATTTTGCTATGGTTATTAAATTACTTTTATGAGTTCACATAAGTTTTTTTCTTTAAAAATTGAGATGAAATCTACCTTGAGGCTCAATTAAGTGTCAGCAGTGGCCCTGTTCAGCGGTTTTCCTCACGTATATTTTATCCCATGGACTAAAAGCGAGAAGTCCAAAGACTACTGCAAAGCTGATTCAGAACAACGTGTGTTGTTTTTTCATACCAATATTTCGGCTGGCGATACCCGCCTTCTTCAGGTTTACAGATGCTAATGAACTTTTGTAGGAATCACAATATTACGTAGATGGAGAATGTCGCAATAACGGATTGTTTAAAAGAGATCGAGAGGCGGAAATGACGTACAACACCAAAAAAACTAGAAAAGAAAAAATAACAAGGATATCGTCACGGCGGTTTAGGCCATTAGGTTCAAGAGTCAATTGTGCCACTTGTTCATACATTACTAACCGCCTCACAAGTTATACTTTTTACGCTACAGGTGAAACACGCTCCATCACTTCCACATTACTTGTAAAAGTGAAACACGTGATCTGCATGGTTCAATGTAACCGTTGTAATTTACAATATAGAGGTGAAAATAAGCGACGCCTCAAGGACAGATTGAACGAACACAGACGTGCAGTTGACAAAACTAACATTAAGTCTAAACCCACTAATGTTTCTGAACACTTTCTCTCTCACTCTAACCATTCTCATACTGACATGCCGAGTTAATCCCACGCGAGAAAATTCATTCTTCACGTGACTCAGTTCGTAAAGCCAGGGAGTCGCACTCGCATGATACATAGAGGTCTAACTAACAATTTTTAATCAATTCTTGTGCCTTTGCAAAAAAATCAAGAAGTGCTACACACTAAATCTACTAACTATTACAAAAATATCATTTTTTGATAGGTTTAATGCACGCCAATAATTAAACCAACTCGTGACGGGAATATCTCGGTGAGCATTCGGAAGTCAGCCAAGCGTGGTCATTGCACGCGTGCTGAACAAGAATGCTGTATAATGACAGACTAGAAACAATAGACAACTCCCAAAGCACAAACTCAGCCAAAACGCTAAAAATCTTCAATGTTTACTCAAGTTTGGGCTTATAGAAGATAATGTCACAGTTTTTCAATGACCATGAAATTCAGAGTCCGGGTAGTTAGTTAATCAATTGTGGCCCTGAAAAAATTTGAAGGAAAAAAAACTACGAATTTTTAAGAAAATGCTTTTTTCGTGAGAAGGACTCTTAAACGCTGACAAACGTCAACAAATAGCGAAAACTATAATTTCTATATGTTTGCTTTGCTCGAAATCGCGCGCATTTACAAGGCCCTAAAGCGTTTTGCTGACTTGCAAGGACCCATCTGTTATAACGATGCCCAAAATAAAGAGATGAATCTCATAGTTTATTAGATATAATCCGTGTAAAGTTTGCTTATCATTTTCGCATAAATTATGACCTAAATTTGGAAACCGCTGAATTTCTCGAATTGGGTCTTTGCGATTTTGGTGAAACTCTGTTCAGCGCAAGGCACTAATGCGCACTATGTGTAGCCGAGAGATTTTCACGAAAAAATGCCGGCAACAGCAGATTTTCGACTCAGACCTCAAAGGGGCGTGGCATTATAACCACGTGACATTTACTCCGATCGCCAAAAATTTTATGTTATATTGTAGATTGATCTATATGTTATCCATTCTATGTGTCAGACTTACGATAAAAGTAAAGGTGGGGATACCAGAGAGCTTCAAAGTAGGATGGTACCTCCCCCAAAAAACTGGGTCGAGTCACCTTAAAATTGACTTGTGTATCACAGTTCGCGGTTAATTAAAACATATAGCCATATAGGAGGAACATTCTCACATGCATTATTATCTAACTGCTTTTGTCAGGAGCCTGCTTTTGTCAACTTTTACCCTTAGTTTTCGATATGTAAATAATTTCCTTTTGTGTGAATCAAGCATAGCTGCCGCGAGCGATTTGGCTCGTCATGTTTCGCCCCATGTATAGGTAATCCGGATTCCGGATTCGGCGACTTTCTTTGCTTGTGGAATCCGGAATCCTGGGCTTTGGAATATGGAATTCACCTAACGAATGGAATCCAGAATGCAAGTTCCATTGACAAGAAATCCCTAATCCAGGGCCGGGGTGCTTACCAGTTACACAAACCAACCGGGAAGAAATCGTGTGCAAAAACAAGAAAAAAAAACTATAAAATTTGACGTGGTGGGAGAACGACCCGCTACAATGAGTATTCAAATCAGCTGGACAGCGCATGTTTTCTGAGGCTCCACAAACGGAATGGCGCGAACCATTTGAACAGTGCCATTCAGAATTTCCGGATTTTCCATGTAAATGATACGTGCCCTAGTTTACTTGCAATCCGGAATCCACAGAGTGGATTCTAAAATCCACGACTGTCTTAGAAGTACCAACCTAGCTCCCAGGGTACTCTTCTACTCGGTCCTTGTGGCGCTGTGACAGTGATGTGAGCATCCCCGCGTTTTGGGCACCCCCATTCCCAAAACCCTAGTGATATGGGCATCCCCTGTAACCCTAACCCTAACTCTAACCCAAATCGCCAAGGCAATATGAGAAGCGGATGCCCATATCACTGGGGTTTTGGGAATGGGGATGCACAAAACGTGGGAATGTCCGTATCACTGTGACAGCGCCGAGGGGGCCGAGTAGGAAAGGACCCTGGGAACGAGGTTTTTGGATATTACCTAACATGGGATGGGGCGAGCTGTTCTAGAGTAAAACTAGTCCTGAGGTCCCCCCCTGTTCTTGCATTTTCGTCGCCTGCCGCATATTGTTCTAATGTCACAGGTATCCTTGATGTGCGAATAGTAGGACAGAAAGTTTTTTAGCCTGCAGTACATCCTTCCTCCACATGCGGGCATTGGCACGGGCGCTTCATTCACCAACATTTGTATTGTCATATTAGATATATGACAATGACCTGCGCAATCACTCTCTCCTTCAGTATCGCTTTTGCTTTTGTTCTCGGGACGTTCTTTATTGCATTTGTAGAGCAAAAAGGCGACATTTCCTCCCATAGGTACAACATCAGAAATACGGAATTTTCGGTTGGCTTGTTGGTGAAAATTGCCTGCTGTAGGTGGGATCGTATCGTTGTAGAGTCCCAACATTGTTAAAAGCGGAATTACAGTTCCCGTATGAGCAAATCGAAATATACCATGAGGCTTTCCAGACTGAAGAAATCCTTCAAAACTGTCTATTATCTCACCATAAAGCTGACAGCCCATTTTATAATTGATTTTACGGCCGTAGCTCCGATCCCAGTAAAGTTTCAAATCATTGAGATATTCCAGAACTTTTAAATCTGCTTCCTCAAATACCTCGCACCAGCTTGAATCGGCGCTATCCGTCTGAATCCCAAATGCGCACATTAAAAACATTTCCACAACCATCTGAGGGGTAAGCAAAATTTTCTTGCGCAATTTTAGCCTTTCAGCGATTTTTTGCACAACTTCGCGCATTTCTGGACCGTTGAGAAATTTTGCGTGCTCGGACCGCGATCTTTTCTTCTCGGTTATTTTTTGCCATTTGGGACATGCTTCAAAGATTCGTAAAACACTGTCATCATCGTAAGAACCCGAAAATTTTACGGCAACTGGTTGGTATTTCGCTGAACCTACTTTTCCTTTTCCTTCGAACAGCCCTTGGGCAAATGCCACAGCGCTTTGACTCGATCTAAGCTTATCGGTGGCAACAAAGCTATAGTTAGTGTTCGAGTATCCGTGTTCCAACACGCTACGAAACTCAGCAAGAAGGCGTCTTGCTATGGAATACATCTCCTCGGAGCCTAATGCCGAAATTTCTTTGCTTGCGGCTTGCAGGATATCGTTTGGTATGTTCCAAGGTAGTGAAAGACCCTTGTAATGAATCGAAGAATTGCTTGGGAAGACTTGATTGATCTTTTCAAGCATTTTCTTCATCTTGTTCACCCGGTAGCTTCCCGGATACCTTGAACCGTGTCTTATTACCATATTCAGATGAGCCGCTTCACATTCTGGAGGTTTAACTATGGCATTTCGCTTGAAATGGTACGGGGTTTTGTCGCTAAACATAAATCTTGGCGACGTGTTCGACGCCCAGCTCTCATCTGAAAATAAGACAAACAGCACCGAAAGACTGAGTATCACGAAGGTAGTTTGCAAGGTTGCCATTTTCGTCACAAAGCAGTGAATTTTGGACATTCGTTACGGAAGGAGATTTATGCTCACAAGCAATAATCGCCTATAAATTGCTCTTTGATTTTGCCTAATCACGTGCAAGGATCAAATTTATGCTCACAAACAATAATCCCCACCCTGTCTATGGCCACCTCCTCCCCTGAGTCCCCTCGAAGAAATCGGGGAGGGAAGGTACAGGGTGTGCTAGCCATTTACATGAGAAAACCAGAAATCCCGGTTTGAAAATTGAATGGTTTGCGCATTCTCTTTGTGAAGCTTCAGGAAAAATGTTTAGCCGGATTTGGATATATTTTGTTGCAGGTCACTCTCCCACCACGTCACTATGCAGAAGATTTCCGCCCCGGTGGTTTGTGTAGGAGCCTCTCTCCCTGATTTTATTTAAGGGGAGGGAGCGGTTGTACACACCCTTAATAATCGTCTATATAAATAATTACTTTTTGTTTTTGCCTAATCACTTGTAATTTACTAAATGTTACTCTAAAAGCACAGCGTCACAAATTTCCGGATTCCCAAATTTCCAGGGTCTTTTTGTCTCAACGGCCATTTTTGGACGCAAAAGCCTAGGGTACATAGTTCTGACGTCAGTGCCGGCTCATGCCGTGTCTCAACATGGCGGCACAAAGTGAAAGCTGTTGTACGCAAATGTCCGTGGACGAGGAAAGTGATTTGCTTAAATACGGAGAGGATATATCTCCAGCAAAGGATGGTGGAGTGCGAAAAGTTGTAAAAGTAGAAAGTACTAAAGGGAGCAAGCCGCCGATTGGAAGTAAAGTTAAAGTTTTTTATCGCGGAACATTTCTCGACAGTGGAGAGGAATTCGATTCAAACTTCGGGAGAAGAGAACCGTTTGAATTCGAAGTCGGAAAGGGTAGGCTTGTGTTTTACTGATGTGTAGAACAGGAAAAATGTCTTAAAATTTTGATACTTGTAATGTGAGCAGCCAGCCGGTTTTGATGAGAAAAACTTCACCCAGCTCGCAGGCAAATTACAAAAAAATACAAGTGTTAAATAAGCTTAATTGGGCATGGGTAGGGTGCAAGCTGTATTGCAAAGAACTTAATGGGAGAAGCCACATTCTTTCCCCTCGGGGGCATGGCCCATGGTCTGATGCCTAACTTTTGTTCTTGGGCGACTGGAAAATCTTAGCCTGAGTATCAGGCGTTTCTGGGGGAAAAGGGGAAAGATGGAAGCCAAAAAGGGAGAGAGCTGAAGGAGAGAAACGCCTGACACAGATGCTTTTACTGGAGCCTTCCACCCCCACACAGTATGATTCAATATCATCCAATCAAAATCACTTCCGGTCATTGGGTTGTCAGCTTCACGTGTCAAAAAGCTCGCCTAAAATAAATCTCACCTTTCTGTCTGGCCAAGCTCCGGTGCTTGTGTTGCTACGATTTCACTTTTTTCTGAAACCTCCAATGAGGAGTTTTCAAAAACTTGTAATGCCTGGAAATTTGTAAATTGCTTTTGTTTACAAAGTTACAACAGGTGCTCACAAAATAAGTGGCTAGGTTCCTGAGAGTCTGGCTGCTAAAAAGCCTTGGGAAAATCTATTTTTTTTCTTAAGGGTTTGTTGGTTATCCTTCGTATTCTCGGGTGGTTTAAAGGAGCTGCAAGAATAAATAGGAAGGTGCGATAGTGAAACACCTATGCATAGAAAATTATCAAGCAGCAGAAAATTTCACCACTTCACAGAGAGCTCGTGAAAGCTGTTACAAGTTCAGTTAAGAAAGAAGTGAAAGCCTATAGCAATCCCGTTGGCGAAATATGATGGTGCCTGCTTGAGCTTAAGACATTTCAAAAGTGAAAAAAAAATTGGAAGAGGAGGCGACGAATTCCAATCACGTGCGCTATCGTAACCGCCACCAGCAAAGTCAAGCTAAAGCCTTGGTGCTGGCAGCTATTCTCAATACATTGCTACCTCGTTCTAATTTTATTTACAGTAACAATACCCTTTTAACGGCAGGATGTTGTAAATCAGAACTTAGATATCTGACGCACTGATATCGTCCTCTTTGTCCTGGTCTTGTGAAACCAATACTTGGACATAGTTTTGGCAGAATTCGAAGCTGGTATATGAGGCTTTTCCATACTCCGAGAACATCTTTCCTTTTAACTACGGGGCTTTGAAAACACAATTCTTGCTTGGGTTTTATTTTCATTCCAGGAAAGAACTTGAGAGCACCCTCTAGAGCCTCTTTGAATTCCTCTCTGGGTCGCTGTCCTTTTAAGTACTACTTCAAATCAAAACATCTCTGAAAAATTTCGATGGCTTCTCCTTGCCGATCGCTCTGCTCGTATTAAACTTGCGGTCGGTGACGTCAGGGGGTATTGTGTGTTATCCAATCACTGCCACATCCAGATTTTGGATGTGTCACACAATATGCTGAATGGTTTTGTGTCAGGCCTTCCTTTCTCTTCTCCCCCCTCTCCCCTCTTCCATCTAAAATCTCCTCTCCCCTAGCCCCTTAGGAAGGCCCGATACTCAGGCTAGGAAAATCTTGTTTTTCTCATAGAAATCGTATGCTTGGTACCCTGGTTAAAGTTCAGGGCACTACTGACCTCCCTTCAATATTTTCTTAGAGCACAGCTTTGTTTCCATAAAAATAATAATAATATTTATGTAATTCAAACCAACATGTAGGGAGGATTATGTGGATGACTCTGCTTAATCCTTTCAATCCTAGAATAAGTTTTGGTGGGATGATTGTTAAATCTGTGGACAAAGTCATAGTATAGCACATAGTACTATAATTATATTTCTTAGGATTTAACAAAAAGATGTAAATTTTAAGATGGGCCACTTTGGACTGAAAGGGTTAAAACAGGCTTCACCATTTTTTGTCTTTTTTTTACTTGTAGGTGTTGTGATACAAGGATGGGACATTGCTGTTCCTTCTATGAATGCTGGTGAGACCAGTCTCTTTACCATTAAACCTGAGTATGCCTATGGAAAAGAAGGTAGTGGCTTGAAAATACCCCCAGACGCTACTCTTCAGTTTGAAATTGAACTTGTTCTCTGGAAAGGGGAAGACTTGACAAAAGATGGTCAGGTGACAAAAATAGTTCTGCAGAAAGGAGAAGGATATGACAAGCCCAATACTGGTGCCAACTGTGAAGGTTAGAAAGTTTCATTAGTTTTAAATATTTAGCTAATAGATAAATAATGTGTATTGCTCATCATTTTAAAAAGCAATTTTGCCTAAATTGCCTGTATATATGTATTTAACTAACAATACTTAGATAATTATTATAACCCAAAACCTTAAATTATAGCTGTATATGTACATGTACATTTTGCTTGCAAAATCTTTAAATAGTAATCATTAACACAATTTTTAGGGGATTTAATAATATTTATTGTTATTCATTCAAATGGCAGTCAATTTAGATTCAGTTAAAAGATGAGTGCGGGCCTGATTTTAGTTACTGTTACTGAATACTAATACATTGTAAAACTGTTAGTGGAAAAGTGAATTATTGGGATGAACTCTATAAAACAGACACCCCTTTAATGTGGACAGTTGCTCTGTCTTTGTCCATATCAGAGAAGTGTAACTGAAGTACAGAAATCTGTCTCATGTCTAAACAGTTTTAAAACTAATCCAGTGTGCTTTTATTTTTAGCTCACATTGTTGGAAAGTACAATGAGAAGGTCTTTGAAAATCGTGAAGTCTCTTTTCAAATGAGAGAAGGTAATATTACTTCNTGGTGGGATGATTGTTAAATCTGTGGACAAAGTCATAGTATAGCACATAGTACTATAATTATATTTCTTAGGATTTAACAAAAAGATGTAAATTTTAAGATGGGCCACTTTGGACTGAAAGGGTTAAAACAGGCTTCACCATTTTTTGTCTTTTTTTTACTTGTAGGTGTTGTGATACAAGGATGGGACATTGCTGTTCCTTCTATGAATGCTGGTGAGACCAGTCTCTTTACCATTAAACCTGAGTATGCCTATGGAAAAGAAGGTAGTGGCTTGAAAATACCCCCAGACGCTACTCTTCAGTTTGAAATTGAACTTGTTCTCTGGAAAGGGGAAGACTTGACAAAAGATGGTCAGGTGACAAAAATAGTTCTGCAGAAAGGAGAAGGATATGACAAGCCCAATACTGGTGCCAACTGTGAAGGTTAGAAAGTTTCATTAGTTTTAAATATTTAGCTAATAGATAAATAATGTGTATTGCTCATCATTTTAAAAAGCAATTTTGCCTAAATTGCCTGTATATATGTATTTAACTAACAATACTTAGATAATTATTATAACCCAAAACCTTAAATTATAGCTGTATATGTACATGTACATTTTGCTTGCAAAATCTTTAAATAGTAATCATTAACACAATTTTTAGGGGATTTAATAATATTTATTGTTATTCATTCAAATGGCAGTCAATTTAGATTCAGTTAAAAGATGAGTGCGGGCCTGATTTTAGTTACTGTTACTGAATACTAATACATTGTAAAACTGTTAGTGGAAAAGTGAATTATTGGGATGAACTCTATAAAACAGACACCCCTTTAATGTGGACAGTTGCTCTGTCTTTGTCCATATCAGAGAAGTGTAACTGAAGTACAGAAATCTGTCTCATGTCTAAACAGTTTTAAAACTAATCCAATGTGCTTTTATTTTTAGCTCACATTGTTGGAAAGTACAATGAGAAGGTCTTTGAAAATCGTGAAGTCTCTTTTCAAATGAGAGAAGGTAATATTACTTCTCAAAGGTATGATTACTGTTGCTCCAGTTAATAAATACCAACATATGCTCACAGAAGCTACAACCTTTCTTCAGGCTGGTCTCGTCAAAGTTTGAAAAAATTCACACTGTATGATAGGCTTTCCTTGTGACATACTGGCAACTATTAAGAAAAGCGTTAAAGAGGGGAGGGGCATTGAAATTGTATTTTCTTGTTTGGCAAGAAAATGGGCTAGGCACTTATTTGGGGATGGAGAAGCTTTTTTGAGGATGTGTGGTAATTACTGAAATTACACCAGGAAACTTCTCTTCTTTGTAGCTTCCAACTAATAATAGTTATAATAATAAGTTTTAATCATAAATCAGTAATGTGCTCACATGTTTTAAGGCAGTCTAGGGTAAATGTAATCAGGTTTATTCTTCTTTGACTGTAGGCTCCGAGCATGGCCTCCTTGCTGGTGTAGAAGAAGCTATGGCACAAATGTGCGATGGAGAAAAAGCACAAGTTTGGATTCACCCTGGGAAATGGGCATTTGGCACAGCAGGAAAGCCAGAGTTTGATATTCCTGGAGAGGCGTTACTAGAATATATCATTCACCTAAAGAAATTTGAAAATGTGAGTATCGTTGGCTTTAATGCAACAAATTGCCTTATGAAAATTCTGAATAACAGTACTTCACCCTCCTAGAACTATTATCTATCAACTTTAACTATTCTTGCTTAAAGAAGTTTCTTCTTACTGGTAATTGCTGTGTACATTTTTAAGAGCAAAGAAAACTGGGAATTGAGCAATGATGAGAAGATCAATTTAGCAGCTTTGACCAAGGAGAAAGGAACAAAATACTTTAAGGTTAGCATTAAGTTCTTTGTATTTTGGTGATGTTGAAGTTTTGGTTTATTCATTTGTTCATCTGTCTTTTTATTATTTTATTTTATTTATTTATTTATATACCGTATATATTCGAATAAGTGCCCAACCTTGAATTAGCGCCCACCTCGAATAAGTGCCCATCCTAAAAGCAGAAAAAGTTAATGAGCGCCCAGCTTTAAATAAGTGCCCACCCCACCCCGAACCCCACCCCTCCTCCTCCTAATCAAATTTAAATAATTAAGCACCCACCCCCACCCCACCCACTTTAGTAACAATGTGATTGAAATTGAATAAGTACAGTACTAATAAGAGACTTTCCCGAGGACAGAGTTTTCTTCAGAGTATTTTACAGAAACCTTGCTATGTTACTTCTTCGCATTTAATTGTTATTAACATTTATTGTTTTGTTGCAAAATAAACATACTACACTTGCTGAAAAGGGTGAAATTTGGTAAGCTCCCAGCCTCAAAAAAGCACCCACCTCGAATAAGTGGCCACTCTTAAGGTCCAAAAATTAAATAAGCGCCTAGGGTTGTTAATCGAATTAATAATGGCATTTATCTAGGGACACGAAACTAAGTATTATCAATTGAAAACACATATGGACACTCAAACACAACAACACGCCGTTCAACTTAAGTGGAAAATCATCAAACAATACAAACCTTAAAACAACACAACTAAGAAATGTAATTTATGTCTTTTTGAAAAACTCATAATCATCTGTAAAAAGGACCTCTGCAGTCTAAACAAGCGAAATGAGTTAGGGACGGACCATTAGAAAAGTTATGGGGGGGGGAGGGGAATTTTCGAGCTGCAGGAATTTTTTTTCGTTATCAAATTCCTTGTATGAATTTTTTTAGGCCATAGCATGAATATTTTTTAGGATTAATTGGCGTGCATGATTTTTTTTTTCATTTAATTTTCCCTTGCGCGAATATTTTTTTTGTACGACACCCGTCCCCCCTGATAAGTTTTCTTATGGTCCATCCCTTAGGAAGTTCATGCCCCCACAGAAACAGATACCTCCTCAAGAGAACTTTTTGATAAAGTACCACAATCTCCCAAATTATAAATAGCAACCACATGATTTATATAATAAAATAATGGCATGCTGTTTTTACATCTTATTGCAACCGTATTTCCGCTTTTTTTTTTTGCCAGTTATTGTAATTTAATGGTCAATTGTTGATATTACCTGATAAGTGTTGTCATCTTTTGGCCACACAAAACAGAGCTGTAGAAATAAAACAATGCACTACCTCTGAAGCCTTGAACCAGTTTATTATAATTATCCATTCATTCATTATAGATTCCACATACTGTTTGTCTAAAATATGTGTCTCCCTTTGCTCAGATAGTGACCAGAAAGCATCATGCCTAGCAATGTTTGTTAGGTAAACAGGTTAAGGCATGTTATTGAGGGGAAAAATAAAATTGTGGTCTTAAATGGTCAAGTTCTTAATATGATGTGGTTTAAATTATATTTTCCTTTGTATTTGGGTGTGGTACTGTATGACAATGAGTTTAAAACAAAGAAAAGAAAAATTTATTTATTTAGCAAAGATAAAATTGAAACACAACAGATAAAATGGATGCAAATATAACTCTTATATTTTCACCAGGAAGGGAAATACCAGATAGCAGCTCATCAGTACACCAGGGTTATTGCCTTAGTAGATGGTTACTTTAAAGATGAAGAGAAGGAGAAGCGAGATCCACTTAAGTTGGCTGGTCATCTTAATCTCGCTGCCTGCCATCTAAAACTCAATAGCAACTTCAAATGCATCAAAGAATGTGAAAAGGTGTGTACATGTAGTTTTCTGTATTTTAGTATTTTAAAAACTAATATGCAACTGTTTTGAATATTCTATAGCACAGTTTTTAGGGACTCATACTCATTAATTATTCATGCAGTCAAAAGCAAATTAATGACGACCATTTGCATGGTTCATACAATCTTGAAAAGGTCTTGAATTTTAGCAGTTGTCTTGAAAAGTACTTTATTTCTTTGTTAGGTCTTAAAAAGTCCTTGAAGTTCACAACCTTGTCTAAAATATTTTTGCACTTAAGCAATATCTTACTTCTGTTTCTTTATTTTAAATCCTATTTATGTACCTCAGATGCAATTGCAAGTCATACCCAATCATTTTTCAAAGTGTTGTTACAGAAAGTGGTATAAAATACTGTGATCAATCATGGCTCAAGAATTTAAAATTTTAAATGACTCCATGACATGTTTTAGCCAATAAGGTGTTCAAGAGGGGTTTGTTGTGAACAAGGGAAGACATTTGCCTGGAGAATATTAGGCTTTAATCACCAAATCTCTTACTAACACAAACATGGCAGCAAACTGCGACCATGAGGATTGCAGGCTCATACAATAAAGTCAAATCACACTACATATACAGTACAACGAATCATAATGTAATGCTATACGTCACACAACTCTTGCAGTTTTCAAGTGTTTCTAGTTTCTAGCTTTAGTTTGCAAATTATCATTTACACCACAGGGTTTAAAGAGTGCCAATTTTTCGAATAAATCTTACTCCTTAAAAACTGTAATTTGTTCTTGAAAAGTCCTTGAAATTTGCTTGTCTGAAGTTGTAGGAACCAATGATGATTTGGGTCAGGTGGATGAATCTTGATGCCTATGAAACACCAGATAAAACACCATGCACCAACAGGTTTTCATCTGAGATCAAACACTTGTATTCGCATTTTTGTTATACTCAGACTGTATACTTCATCACGGGTTCCAAACACCTCGAAGCAGATGAAAGCTTCTGGCCTACGGCCTCCTGCTGTTTCTTGGTGTTTGGCACTCGCCCTCGTTCTTAACATCTTACTTGAAATACTCTTGTGTATATCAACAAGAGTTTAAGTTACTTATCGCTGTAAAATGTGTAAAAAATACATGTTTAGTACATGCGATTGTAAAACTGTTTCTCTTTTCCTGTTATTGTAGGCTCTTGAAATTGAAAAACAGAACATAAAAGCACTATTCAGAAGAGGAAAAGTAAGTTGTTAGACTTTATGTAATTTGAAGTCGACATGCATTACTTGATTCAGGTTATAATACAGTAAAACCCCGCAACTTAGAACCTGCCATGGATCTTAAGAACCTGTTGGGCTAAAATTTGCCTTTTAGGCCCCCTCTATACAAGAACCTGTTTCTGAAGCCTAAAATTTAAAACAGGTTCTTATTTTCTAAAATCTATGAAAAAAGTCTGTGCACTTGGGCAAATATTAGATAAGTCAACATTCAGAATTTTCTTTGCAGAGTTAGCCGCCTCATCACTCCAACTGCAATTATTTAAATGCCAATGTAGTCAATGAGATCAATGCTTTACTTCTTCCTTTTATGGTCATTTTTACATAACTTCAAATTTGGTATGCAGATTTTATAGAATATGAGGAATAAGCTGAACCACTAAATACTCTTAGCTACATCGTATTTTGTGTCTTTAGGAATTAGAAAATAAGAAACCATTTAAGAACCTAAATAGCTTAAACTTGTGCTAACTACCATTTTATTATAGGAACGACAAATCCGATTGAACCATTTTAAATCCAGAATCTTGCGTCTTGCTCACTACCCCGTTCAGCTTTCGTGGGTACGTTCGAAAACAACCTAAAAAAAGTCGAGACTAACTTTCGACAAGATGCAACACGGAACATTTGTAGTCTAGCCCAAAAAAGCTAACAAAAACGTACATATCATAAAAAAGACGTTCAACAGGCTGTGTAACTATCCCCCTTCATTTACAATTGCCACCTGTGCAGGATTTCGTCCAAATACTCAAAAGGTAGAATTTGCTACCCAGAAGCTTGGTAATAGTGATAATCATGATAGTGATAATCAGAAAACTTGAAAATAATTAGAAGCAGGGAGTAATGAGAATACCTTTAATAGAATGTCGGACACTTGATTATTGTTTCGTTACTATAAACATATGTTATCAACACTTGAAGACAATTTTCATTTGATGTTTAAGATATGGCACATACTGTGATGGAGCCAGACCTTAATGACCTTGCGGAGACAGTGAAGGTTAAATTGAAACAATCATAGCGCAGAGGATTAAGCACAAAAGGAAGGGTTTCCGTTTAAGTTGGGAGAGTAGCTCTTTACACGCCCGATTTAATTGAGTGATTGCGAAAACACGATAACCAAGTTAATCTCAGTGGAATTTACTGATTGAGCTGTAGTTCGTTTTAGTCTTCTTTTCCCCAGTAAAAAACTGGACAAACGTTATGAAAAGAGAGAGGGGGTTGGGAAGAAAACGCCTTATTCCCTCTTGACATTTTTCCTTCCCGGTGCTCTTTGCGTCCTCAATATCTGAGCTTTAAGAATAGGAAACTGATACCCTTTGCATCATCTCTTTACCAGGCCAGATTATCTATCAGCGAACTTGACCTCGCAAAGAAAGACTTTGAACTTGTGCTCAAAATCGACCCAAAGAACAGAGAAGCTCAACAGCAGCTAAACTTGGTCAACAAGAACATAAAACAGCATACGGCCAGGGAGAAAGTCATATTTGGTAAGTATTTGGTTATTGCTCTTTTCTCTCTAAAAGTAACAGGTCAGAGTTCGGTGATACAAGCAGTTTCCCTGTGAAAATGTGAGGGCACCACGCTCTCGAGAGAGTTCGCGCCAATATTGCTTCTACACTTGAGAATTAGTTTTGTTTTGTTTTGTTTTTGTATTGTTCACCGTAACGAACGCGAAGAATCCAACTTTATCTTCCTGAATCTATCTCTTGGAATCTCATAATAAACTCGCGCGGGGTAGCGAGTCTCGCTGCGTTTCTCGAGGTGGGGCTGATCTCTATATCGAGAATAGACTCTCGCGTTTAGGTACAATAGGTGTACTTCCCTCAGTTTCCTCAGGAATAGCAAAGCGAACGAAAAACGCGATAACGCGTGAAAAATCGTATTGAGGTAAACTACGAGTAGTTCCCTCAATTTCCTCAGGGATAGTAAAGCGAACCTTAAACGCGATAACGCGTGAAAATTCGTGTTGAGGTAAACCACGAGAAGTTCCCTCAATTTCCTCAGGTTTGGTAGAGCGAATGAAATACGCGATAACGCGAGAAAAACAGTGTTGAGATAAACTAGAAGTAGTGCCCTTAATTTCTTCAGGGATAGTAAAGCGAACGTAAAACGTGATAACGCGTGAAAAATCGCAAACCGCAGGAAGGTTTCACGCGGAGGAAAGACAGAATTGGCCTTTCGTGGCTTCATATTCCAGGGACTGTGATGTATCTAAGTATCACAGGAGACCCAACCAAGAAGCCGATAGTAATCAGTTCACTCTGAAATGGTTAGCTTACTGGACTTTTTTCTGTCCTGGGAGCATCTAGTTCATTGTGACATTTTTGTTGCAGTCAGGTTAAAGTCACAAACGGGGTAAAAAAAAAAGGGTAACCACTGCTGCAAAGAGCCGCTGACAACTGTCGTTCTTCAGTACTGTTTATGATGGTGCACAAGATGGTTCTAACTTTTGAGTCTGAGGATAAAATCTCAAAATATGTCCTTTCCAATAAAAGGTACTAACCAGTACTTTCTTTTGGTACTGTTAATTATGCTGCACAAAGTGGTTCGAACGTCTGAGTCTGAGGATAAAATCTTAAAGTGTGTCCGTTCCAATAAAAGGTACTAACCAGTACTTTGCTGTGGTACTGTTGGTTATGCTGCACAAAGTGGTTCGAACGTCTGAGTCTGAGGATAAAATCTTAAAGTGTGTCCGTTCCAATAAAAGGTACTAACCAGTACTTTGCTGTGGTACGGTTGATTATGCTGCACAAAGTGGTTCGAACGTCTGTGTCTGAGGATAAAATCTTAAAGTGTGTCCGTTCCAATAAAAGGTACTAACCAGTACTTTGCTGTGGTACTGTTTATTATGCTACACTTGGTGGTTCTAACTTTTGAGTCTGAGGATAAAATCTCAAAATATGTCCGTTCCAATAAAAGGTACTAACCAGTACTTTCTTTTGGTACTGTTTATTATGCTACACTTGGTGGTTCTAACTTTTGAGTCTGAGGATAAAATCTCAAAATATGTCCGTTCCAATAGAAGGTACTAACCAGTACTTTCCTGTGGTGCTCACGGTGTATTTTGCTGCACAAGGTGGTTCTAACGTTTGAGTCTCAGGATGAAATCTTTAAAGTGTGTCTTTTTCATTTAATGGTACTAACCAGTACTTTCCTCTGGTGTTGGTTATTATTCTGTACAAGGTAGTTCTTCTAAAGTGCAACCATTCAAAAGAAAGCTACTGAGGAGTACGTTTCTCTGGTAATGGCTAAATTATGCTTTTACCTGGTGGCTCGGCCTGTTTTCCGTAAGACATGTTTTCGAAGAAGCAAATATTGCCTAGAATTTTCTAAGTTTGAGGACGCTAAAAATTCCCGATGACCGTTCCATTCATGTACAATTTTTGCTTGTCTAATACATTCTGTACGATTTTCTGAAACTGAATTTTTCACATTCGCCTTCCCCCCGCCGGTTTAGCTAAAATTTGCTAAAGCCCTCGTAATTTCCAAACGGCTCAATTTACCCCAGGATAACCGAAAAGATACAAATTTTATTACGCCACTTAGAATGCATTTCTAGGGATCTGAAGGTACTCGGGATAACCTGAGAAGCGTTTTTCAATGTAAGGGTGTAAAGGCGCACACGAGCCAAAGGTCCAAACGGCCGGAGCTTATCCCAGCTTCCTTAGCATAAAGCGTGCATAGGAGTGTTGCTACTCCTGACTGGAAAGGATGCTAGTCCTCCCCCCCAGCAGTATGTCGTCGGTTCCCATTTATACACCTGGGCGAAGAGTAAAGTTCCTTGTCTAAGGAAACAACAGGACAGGCGAGGTAATGTATTTGGAGAAAACTGTCGTTGGGTGCCCCTGCTTTGAGTCTGTGAATGGGTGAAAATCCTATAAGTGTAAATTCTGATCTTCTAAATAATAGGTATAAGCGATAAAAATTTTTTTTTTTTTGTTATTCCTCAGCTAACATGTTTGAGCGTCTGGCGCGCAGAGAAGAACTCGAGGCAGGGCAAACGCAGCGTCGCGATGTGTTTCAAGAAGCCACAGACGAAGAAATGAGAAAACTTTCAAACTCAAGCGACACAAAACCACTTGCTGCGAAAGATCAAGAGGAAGCGCCATCGACGGAAGTCAACGGTCAAGGAAACGCAGATGTGGAAATGAAAGAAGACGACAAAGGAGGCGTGGTTTGTTGACATCCGGTTGAAAACGAAATGACGAACAATTTTTAAGAATTGGATCCCAAATTTAGCGTCTGCATTCCTGCCCATCAACAACTGTACAGTCCACCGTCTCTCAACGGAAACCTCCCTAAAACGGAAACCAAGAGTTGGACAGACCCTGCCGGACTCCTCATTTAGAAAACCGGACGTGTGTTGCCGGTTTCAACGCTGTCCGTGGCTTGTATTAGAGAGAGAGTAGACTGTGTTATAAGCACCCCATGTAAAGGAATCCAAGACAGTCTTGGGCTCTGGATTCCAGATACTGGATACCAGATTCTTTGTCAGTGGAACTTGGATTCCGGATTCTAATTGGTTTTTGAAATTCCGGTATCCTTGAGCCTTTTTCCTAATTCCAAATCCCAAGATTCCGGAATGCACAAGCAAAAAATTTCCTTGATTCCCGAATCCGGATTCTCTAACATAGAGTGAGTCATAAACAAGGAGTCGCAAAAATCATCCTCAGTTAACCGTGGTTTGGTCTTTGCTGAGTCAGCAACGATGCTGTGACAAACCCTCCCAAACAAGGTGCCGTTGCCTTTGGTGTGACTGTCTACCACAGTCGAATCCCCTTAATATCTACACCATAGACGCAGGGTGCTTAGTGTCCACATTACATGTCTGTGTCAGAAGTTGGGTTTGTATGATTTTTGGGACCAAAACAGTTGCCCTCAAGAGAGAGGTTTCCGTATTATAGAGGTTTCCAGAAGAAGAGGTTCGACTTATTCGTTTGGAACCGGCGAAGCAGCTGTCTAAGACAGAATGGTGTCTGTCTCCTTTCTGCTCGTGCCTGACCGTAAGGGGCTGGCCAAAACTACTGTCCTCAATAGAGAGATGTCCCAGTCGTAGAGATGTTCGGAGGGAGGGGTTCGCGAGAACTACAAAACCATAGTCCGAAGGGGCCGCTGTAGGTGCACCAGTATAGTATAGCATCTCCCCCTTTTCTGCCGTCGATCGGATTTATTTTATCAGATCGTGTGATGTTAGCTGGACCGTATTTAAAATTTACTTGAAGTAGAATATCTTTGAACCTTATTTTCGCCCTTTTTCGTGCCACCAATTGTCGCCTCTCAAACGCTCTTTTCTTTACTGGTGTTTTATATTTAGTTATGCATAAAATGCTCTTTTATATTGTAGAATCAGCATTACATTATCTTGAAGCAAAATTTATCTTAAAGAAAATAATCCTAGCAGCTTTGAATAATATTTACTCTTTAGTGTCAAAATAAAGGAGAGTCTCTTACTTCCTGGCGCCAGTTGTTCAAAAGGCGGATTACGCTATCCACTGGATAAATCTCTATCTCCACAGGATACCCAACGCAATTGGTTTCCCTAAAATTCATCCGCTGGAAAGTGATTTATCCGGTGAATAGCGTTATCCAGCGTTTTAAACAGCCGTGGCTTGAACTCTAATTTTAACCTGTAAGGGATTACAAGGAGTGACTAACTTGTACATGAATTGACACAATAGGTCATTTCCGAGTTCCCCCGGGCCTCTGTTTCCAAACGAGGGTAGGTGCTCAGCCATTGATATGGAAATTATTTTTCATTCTCATTCAAATAAAACTCATTTTCACAAGAAAGATTGTGCACCTAGCCTCAGTTTGAAAGTGAGGGTTTTTGAAACTCGGAAGTGGCCTATTGGTGGAAAGATGAACTTGAGGAGGGGATCTATATAATGTACTTCACTGAGCGAGAAGACCTCGGGAATCCAGGATAGATGTGCATTCACTGGGACTAGAATATTCATGTTGATACTGTCGTTGACATTTTTACATTTTTACTCGAAAACACCTGCGATACCTGTTTCTCGCTTACCTTTTGTCGACATACCTTATTGAGACAGGTTGTTCTTTCACAGGTGAAATTTATGGTTTGGTTTCATTTCATTCGAACAATCTCATCGGGAACTATCGTGAGTATTCGTGCGATTTCCTGACTCTTATTTTACTGCCGGTTACCCATCCGTGATATGCGATAAAACGCCAAATGCGCACGCTTTCGAATGAACCTCCTTACGAATACACAAGACGTCAGCTTGCAGCGAAGCCAGAGCTGAGACCAAAAGTCCAAACCAGAATGAGAAACGTCTTTGTTACTATTTCACCGGCAGTTAGATAACGAAACGGCTCAAACCCAAGGTCAAGATGTCCGTCAACTGTCAGATTTTATTTTGGTTTCGCGATCTCCTAAATCGTCGCTCTTTTTCCCGTCCCTGACGATGATAAGGAGGGATTCGGCTCTATCTTTGGGACTAAAGCAACTGTGTGAGACTGAATGGTGGTCGCCCCTATTCTGGCGTCCTGTCCCTGCCCCGCCCTTATCCAGGTAAATTCGCTGGTATAATTTTGACAAATTGCACGAGATGGAATATGAGCGTTGAAGTTTCAAACAGCGCGAATTCTCTTTCAAAGTGACGTTTTCATCACCGCCGCCGCTGTCGTAGTTGGTTAAGCTCTCTATTATGAGACCAGGTGGGGAAGCAGGAGGGGGTTATCGTACTCATTCATTCTTATACAACTTTCCATCTTTTAGTGTATTATCTTTATCTAAAAACAAACTCGTCACGCTTAGCAAGTAGCGTGACTGTCCGTATGATTTCGTATGACTCGAATTACACTTCCGGGTTTAATACTTGTCATGCAATAAACTGCGCATGGTTTTTCCGATGTCGGGAAAGGTCCCTTTGTTTGAGTACCCAAAATTTCAACTTGCTAGAAACGACAGTTGTGGTAATTGCAAACAGGAAAACCTGGTTTGTTAATCTACTTTCACGTTGTCGAATAAACGACCATTTTTACAAGAGCAGGACTTTGAGCATGACAGGTTTAATTTTTACATGCAAGATTCTCGCACTTCGCTCTCGACTGTGTCTTGTTCTAGCTGTTAGGCAGGCTAGCGTCTTGAAAAGGGGCAGGAAAACCAACAATTATTTTGCTGCATCGATCACGCAAGGATTAGGCATTTTAATCCCGTAAGATTCAAAAGGACACGGAACAATTCCCCCTTCAAAACACAATTTATACAGAAATTCGATTTCGACAGACGGTGAAGTGGATGTTAGACCGTGTTAATAGCATTTTTTCCCATATATGGTGTATATTTGGCAGATATGAGCTGATTTCACTTTCTCGGGAATAGAAAACAAGCCAAGACTTTCACAGCACCGTGAAGGAAGTCAAACTCCTGCTGAACTAATCAAGCGACAAGCTAAGCGAGAGGTAAGTTTGAAGTAAAAAATTTTGTTTTATATGGATTCATCTTTTAATAAGTCTGTGCAATTAAAAGTATTTCTACTGCAGTAGACGATGAATGCAAATGCAAAAGTTTTATCGATCAGTGCAGATATGAAGTCGGGAAAACGGCTTAAAGGCTAGGTGATTTTTTTGTTTTGTTTTGTTGTTTTTAACTGGGCGTACGGTATCTTTCGGCTTTATTCAGAAGTATTCATTTTTTAAGTATGTGGTTACTGCGCTTCTCTTATGTCTAGATGTATTGCAGAAAATGCTGTGGTATCCTGAATTTGGCAGCATTCCTTGTGTAGCGATACTCATCTGATGTTACGCATCTATTGATGTTACTAGAGAGCTTAAGCAACTACGAAGACGACGACAACGTCAAAAAAGAAAAAAACAAAACAATTGGTTTTATGAGAAAAACAACGGCTCTACACGTGCATCACGCTTTTTAGTACATTTCTTTGACGTCCACTGCACGACTACGACGTGAAACCTCCCAATGCGACGTTTTATGGAGGACGTGGACATACGAGGACAAGTTTTCCTTTCTCTATTCGAACATGGGTAAAGCCCTTGAGAATTCAACTCCTGGAAAAGTCGCCTACATTTAACGAATTAAGCGCTTCCAGATAGACGCGATTAAGTTTGAAAGGACGCAAATTCATTTTTTTAATGCCGTTTTCACTGCCGTCGTTTTTGTTGCAACCAGAAGCGCGTTGACAACCGGAAACAAAAGATTCTTTTGGTTTCACTCGTCACGAATTTGAATAACTAAAACAATGTTTGTAAAATGTGATGTCTCCTACACTGCGGGGGGGAGGGGACACAAGGGTAAGGGTGACATTAATATTCCTTAACGTCGCTTTAACAATTCGAAATCCATTTTCCAAAGCTAGGATTCTTTGGCTTATTTATTAACTTTTCACTAAACGAAATCCCATCTTCAAGCCGAGATTATACGCGATAGTTTTTTTACGCAGCTCAGTCTACTCCATGTTATTGGGCAAAAGTGTACATATCTCGTCAAAATAACAGTGACCTACGCTCTATACTTTTCATGTCGTTTTAACAATTCCATTCAGCAATTGGTGTTGTCCATGTTATTTTGCCTTTTAAACTTTCCATTGTACAAAAACCCATTTCAGGCGGACGCAAAAGATTCCATCTACTCCATGTACATGTTATTGAACAAAAATGTAAGCCTTTCTAGTACTCGCTAGAATCTGCCAAACATAGTCCCACTAAAGCAGTACTTAGTAGGGGAGGTAGCAGTCGAATGTTTAATCCAAATTTAATGAATAAATTAATGAGAGTCGCGTGAGTGAGTGATCGAGTGCCATTCGACTACCTCCAAAAGCTCGCCAACCATGAGCTAAAAAGAGAAGTGATTTACACGTTGGCAATTAGAGACGGGTAGGGAGCACAGCCACTCAGAGATAGCAAAATACGTGAAAATACTAGCTACAGCATAGTTAATATTTGAAATAATAGTCAAAGACGGTAAATTTGCATTTCAATAATGGTGATACAGCTTTGATTCCGCATTAAAGGTAGAGCAAACTTAAGTTTTTCCCAAATAAGGCTTGGGCATTTGCGTACGTTTGGTGTGCACAACATCAGACTTTCTCAATGCAACCTTTTCCTTACCTTTGCCTTAATGAAAAATTTGAAAAGACTGGTCATTGTCATCTTTCTGTTCATGTTTTAATTTAAAGCTTACTGTCATGGACAACGTAGACGAGGTTCTTGAGGCGTTCCATATCGGCTTTATCGTTGCTGCTTTTGTTCTTAAAACCGGGCGCGTTCCTGCAGCCATCAAGTAGTTCAAGGAATGTTTGATTCTTCTCAAGAGCAAGGCATTGGAAAGAGAAAGAGAATTACTCGCATCAATTCATGAATGTATATTCCTTCAGATGTTTAATGGGTACGTTCTTATGAAGGATCGCACAAATGCCATGGAATGTGGCCGAGACCTTCTCGTTTTAGCTCGAAGAAATGGAAAAAAAGACGTATCGCGATCTCCTAAATCGTCGCTCTTTT